CTTGTGTGTTTATATGCAATTAACCTCAGTCTTGCCACAAAACATGGAGATTTTAGTTCCAACCTGATAAACAACTCTGTCAGCAGAATAAATGAATCTTGTATGTATTTCCTAGCCTAAATATTTATTTATTTCATAGCTCTGCATTGGTATTTGGGTTTTTTTACTACTTAGCTTTTTGATTCAGGAAAGTACCTTTGAATTTATGAAGCCCTTAAGAATATGCTTAACTTAAGCCTTGTGCTTATAATCAAGTATGTGTTGTTGAGGTGTTTTTCTGAATCTGGCAATTAATTTCTAGTAGACTTATTTATGTGAACAAAAAGTCATATTTTAAGAGGAGAAAGAAGTGATGTCATGAACTAGTTACAAAACCTCTGAGCTAATTTGCATGAGAAAGATGCGAGGCTCTCTGTATTCTTATATGAGAGATGATAAGAGACCCATCCATTTATCTAGCATAGCGCTTCTTATCCTCAAAACTTTGTAAAGTTTTATTCTCCCATTGTTTGTCATAAAATCCCCTAAAGCTGCAGATACGCCTTCCTTTGTCCCAGAAAATTCCTTTGAAGCTTGAATTGAGCTTAAACATTAGAATTGCTGTTTTCTCCTCACTGGAAAAATGTCCATCATGTGGTTTTGCAGCACTGCAAAGGAAAGCAACATGTATTCCTGCAGAGGCAATGCCAAGGCTTGCTACACAGAAAACTAGTCAGAAACATTCATGCACTACATATTTCCAACAGAGCATGTGGATTAAGTGATCCATTTTAACTTCCCCAGGGACTTGGAATACAGCCCCTTAGTTCCAACGGGGAGCAGGACCAGACCACTACAGCATCTCCCCTAATTTCTTACTGATCCCAAACCATCTGCTTCTCTGTGGTAATAGTCTTTTGCTGTTTGTTAACATAGTTAATCCTCTAGCGTAAGCTGTAGTAATTTATACTGGATGTTTGGGTTTCATGTGGTACTAATGGTATCTAATGAACTGTGACTAACAGAAACATCTGTTCTACACAATAGTTAATTTTTTTCTTTCTTTTTTTTTTTTTTAATCTCAGTGATTAGATATACAAAAATAGTTAGGATCTCTTTAGGCTGCAAAGATTAGAACTCAAACCTTCAGTACTGAAATAGGCCATATTTAATACTACCCATGCAACCTTGGTTTAGCTCCCACTTTTTTATGAATTGTTTGATTTTGATGCATGGTATGTCTTGCTACCTTTTCACTAGCCAAATGAAAAAGGGGCTGAAGGAAGGTTGCATGGGACATCTCTAAGACTGCAGTGTCCTCATTTAACCATATGACTAGAAGCTAGAGAACATCTCTTTATTTATTTGTGTGTAATATTTGTTCTACAATTGAGCAATATGATAAAAAAACCTATGCAAGTATTTATTTACAAGTAAGAAAACTGCAAAAGTTGAAAAGTTATTAATATTAATGAAGGCTATGCTCCAGAATAACATGAGTGAGAAATGGGATATGCTAAAAACAACCAGTTATATACTGTTTGTACTTTGAAAGGAAAGTAACAAATTTAAAAAAAAAAAGACGGAAGTGTAATTTATAGTGCTGCAGAGTTAATAATGCAATAGAAATCTTAGCTCTTTCTAATTTGAGGGCTTAATTTCTTAGCCTTAATGTTGCAGTAATGTGGTTTCCAGATTTAACATCCTTCTATTTATTTGTTTTTAACAACTCAGAGGGAAAATAAGAGAAACACATTGTGAAAATGCTGTAATGAGATCTTAGTGCTACTAACATGCCTTACATTTTCTATAAAGTTGCTGATTGCATTTAGAGTCACCTCAGCAGCACTAAATCATTTCAGCAGTTTACTCTTATCAACAGTGTCATTAAATTTCCACAAGTTTAGAAAATGCATTAAAAAAAAACAAACCAGAAAGAAAATGCCTTGTTCTTGTATGGAAATGTCACTTTATAACATCTATAGTTTTAAAAATAAAAACCAGATTTTCTTCAGGCATGAACCCTTTATTCTTCCCCTGTGGGACTCCTAAGGAACTCTTTAAATTCACGTGATCGTGCAGTTAAAATCTGGGCTGACTCAGCAAAGTGTTTAACTATGTGCTTAAATTCTATTGCAATCAATAGAATTTGAGCATGTGCTTAAATATTATGTTGAAAAGAAATGGATTTACACACGTGTTTTAAAGCTAAGCATGTACCAAAGTAGGCCCATAATACGTCAAAGCAAATTGGAAGAATTCAGGTTGTAAAAGCCCTACCTTTGTGGTGACTGACTTCATGAGTAAAGTATTTTGATATAGCTTTTATATATAATTTAAAATGTACAGTATAATGCTGTAGTTATTATGGTCTGTGAATTAGCTAAGATAGGACAGTTTATGTGTCTGTCAGCTTAAAATACGTACACCAGAATTAAGAATACTTGCAGCTAAATATCTAAATGTACATTTTCTACTCTTGCATATGGTTTGCTTTTATTTAGTTACTGAAGTATTTGAAGTCATTTAGAACTGTGAAGGCTATCTTTAAAAATGCAGCTGCATATATAAGAAGTTACAAGTACGTATGGGTACTTAATACCAGGATCCCACACTCCACCATTTTCGATGTTCTGACCTGTTTTTAACTTATTCCTCCAGTGTTTCCCTGTAATATGAAACCTGATTATTTTGAGGCACTGAATCACCAGGCAGCGTCATGTTCTGGTTGGCTCAAGGGCATAAGCAATTCCACTTTTTTATTTGCTTCTTTCTATAAAAAGCTTTTTCTGCATTAGAGAAGATTTCTGTTTCTTCTGGTGATCCCCCTTGCACTATGTTAAACTTCTTCTGCCCTGTACTGTGAAAGTGGCACGTATTTCCCACAAAACATTTAGGTATCTTTATTTTCCAGAGAAAATGTTTATGACATCAAATGGTCAGCAGTCAATGATGCGATGGTATGTGTTATGCTCACCTGCTGTCTTGCACTGTAACACCCTGTCACTGTGCTGCCATTGTCCCTGCTCAGACCAATGCCCGTGCCCCTTTGCAGAGCTGGATAGATGCCATCTGCAGAGCTTCACTGCTTCCCCAGGAGCAGTACTGCCGTGGAAAATGGGGGGAGGGAAGAGACAAGGCAAGGAGAACAGGGTGGTGAGCAGCAATAGGTGCTAACTTGAGGATCCTGCAGGGAAACCCCTGCTGCTGCCAGCTGCTGTGGTCTCCCATCTGTCCGTCTGGGACAGATCCTCACCCTCAGCAGGACCAGGTCATTTGGCACATGGAGAAAGCAAATGGGACAATGGAGGAGACTTGAGGCACAGACCTCCCAGATGCCATCAAGTATCCAAACATCAGAGGAGTGTCACAGTACTTTGTTACCTTGAATCTTCTCTTTGGTAACACAATTCTGAGAAGTATATAAAAAAATATACTTCCCTTGGCTATGATCTGTCATATAAGTTAAAAGGCAGAACCAAGCCTCAAATAATGGGCAGATTCTTGTGTCCTCAGGAGCAAAAAATTATGTCAATAGTTGAGAATTTGGTGGATTTCTAGAAAGTTCCAAGACAACCTCTGTGTTGCCTTCTTGATTACAGTGAGGAATCACATCCCAGTGGCCAGTGTTGCTCCCCTAGAGCAGGGACATGGAAGGGGACTTGTAATTTTGGTAGGTGAATAGTCAAGCTGATGCATAATATATGTAGGTAGCAACAGGCTTTAGTCACCTGTGTAAAAGTGCTATAAGGCAGAGCAGGGCCCAGAGAAGTAAAATATTATCTGTAACAGTAAAATGTGTAGGTATATTAATCAACAAATGAGATATGCAACTTCTGAAATATGAAAAATGAACTTCACATATCACTTATGAAACCTTCCCAACCACAGAGGAGCATGGTGCTGTTGTCCGATACACTGTCAAACGCTGCTCTTCTGAAACCACATCATCTTGTAGAACTGAAAAAGACGCCGTGCAAATTGCCTAATGTTTCTAAAAATAAGTGTGAGCTGCTGTCTCTCTCCAAATTTTAACGACTCAACCAAACAGTAACATAGACACGGTGAGCGTGTCTAACATGCTGTGCCACAACTGGTGACTTACTATAAGAATTATATGAAACATGCTAAATACGGAAAGGCTGCTTATAACTACACGCACAAAACCCGGTCCCAGGTTGACATCTGCCCCCGCCTTCTGCTACCCCCAACCCGATTAGCTGCAGAAATCGCCTCTCCGGCGTCGGCTTCAGGTCCTGCAGGGAGCAGGCAGCCGCCTGGCTCCCCTGCCAAAGCCAACTGTGGCGTAGCCAGAGAAACGGGCAGCAAAAATAGAACAGCAGGATGGCTGCGCGTGGGCGAGGCAGAAACCACATCGCCAGCAAAACCTCCCAGCGTTATTTTAGGACCGATACAGACAGAGGCCGTGGCGTTCTGCTTGCTTTTCACAAAACACTCCCCGGGGGAGGGTGAAGCGGGAGAGGGGCGCGAGTCCCGGGCAAGGTGCGTTCCTGTCCCGCTCCTGCCCTCCCTGCCTCCCCGGCCTCCCTCCCTGGCGTCTCCCCACCGAAACGGGCTGGGCAGGAGGAAGGGGTTAATTGAGCTCGAGGCCGAGCGGCGGAGAGAGGACGGGCGGCAGTTTGAAAGACAGAGACTGGACAGCTGTGTTTGCTGTGGTATTTTTAAACGCATTAATGCAGGCTCCAATCACCCGGCCATGCTTGACCTATTTTTGGCTCAGGCCGGCCATTGTTCTATTTCTGCCGCCGCTGGGCCACGAGGGTGTCAATTCAAATGCAAATGAGTTATCGCTGCTGCTCCCGCCAACTTCGCCCAGCCGCCTGGCCGAGGGACAGGCGGCCGGCAGAGGAGAGGGGCGCGGGCACAGCAACGCGGGACTAGCCTGGGGTCATTCAGATTAAATCCTCCGGGGCTCCTGGTCCCTGGAAAGGTGGCTTATTTGGGTTGATGGTTTGTTAGAGGCAGTTTTCCACCCCCCCACCCCACCCCCCCCACCCCGCCCTGCCAGGAAGCCCAGAGCGCAGAGATATTTCTTCATTTCTCCTTCCACCTGCCGTTGGCTGCCCGAACGCAACTGCTCCAAGTCGGCAGCGCGCAGCCCCCCGCACGCTCACGGCTCCCTTCCAGCGGCCGGGGGCTGCCGCCAGTGGATTTGGGGTTTTCCCCCTCTCCTGATAGATACTTGTGCAAATGCTTAAACACTGCTAATTGCCGAAGCATATTATCCTACAACCCTCGCTGAGGAGGTAGGACCGCAGAGGGTCGTGCCCGACGCCCATGTGCAAGTGCAGTGATGAATCTCTTGTGTAGCTGAAGTGCAGACCAGTTGGAATATGCTGCAGACAATTTACGAGAGTGAATCGTGTTTTTCCTCAGATGGAGTTTCTGGACGCGAACAGCTCTTGGCTCAGCAAAGAATGCACAGTATGATCAGCTCAGGTAAGAGACTTCAGTGGTTGACCGGGAAAATACATGACAAGAAAACACCCTTCCGTTACAGAAGTGACAGTTTTTGTGGGCTTTATGTAAGTTGTTGTTAAATAGTTCTGGTAGTATTTTAGATAGCAGTTGCTGCTTTTGTAGGGAGTTTGTCTCCTTTGTTGTTCTGCTTTCCAGACACAGCAAAATGCTCACAACTGAAATCTATTGGATTTACTTGTTTGTTTTGTTGCGGGATTGCAAAATGGGGCTCATGATACAGGCTTATTTACAGGGAGAGACTTCCTCAGACAGACGTTGTCAGGAGGCTGCACTTGGAGCCCCTCATAGGCAATTCTAATCATATGGCTATTGTAAACAGGATTTGCTCTTTCTGTGAGTTTCCTTTTCCCTAGTTTGCATATGAAGGGAGTTTAATACCAATCTCTTTGTCTTTTCATTGAAGTGTTACTTTAAAATGTCTTTAAGCTGCATGGCTTACTGTGTTACTTTAAAAATATTTGTGAACCTGGCAATGGTAGTTATATATTATGACTCACTGAGGTGTAAATTGGTTGTGTTATTTAATGAAGGTATTTCAAAGCTGCTCTGAAAGAACATTGCATGTATTTGAAACTACCCTTGTATTTTATAGTTTCTTTGCTAGCTGTGTTTGAGACCTGCAAATGATGGACTGAGGATAAATTAAGTTGGAAGAATTGTTGCCATTCAGCTAAGACATCAATTTAGACAGGCTAAAAAGTCGAAATTTCAGGTTGCTCTTGCCTATTCTCTCCTAAGATGTGAATTCCAGTTCTGTTTTTATTGGACTGAAACTCTTGTCTTTTGAGGCACATTGTTACCTGTTTTACATCTTTTAAAACCTAGGTTTCTGACTTTGTTCTTCATAAAGTTAGCTTTATAGAGGACCATATGTAGAATGCAGGGTGAATTGTTTGCATGTACTTTAGTCTTCGTTTATACCCCCTTTTCTCTTTTTTCTTTTTATTTTTCTTTTTCATCAATCTTTCTTCTTTTTCTTGTTTTCTTTCTTTTGCTTTTCTTGTTTTTCTCTCTTTTTTCTTTTTTTTTCCCTATTTCTTTTATTTCTTTCACAAAGCTCGACTGTCACCAATTTTTGAAAAGAAATATGTATGTAGACCATACCTCTGTTCACATGTTACCTGTTTTGGTACACCTGTTGAGCCCATGTTTGTTTGTTTGTTTAAAAATTGTTTATTTTCCTGCTTTATAGAAAAAGAGCTTAGAGTTTTACTTGTGATCCAGTTACAGTTCCTTTGTCAAGGACACAAATCAGGTGAAGATGTGTTTATAAGTCTGAACAACGAAGCTCTAGCAAAGACAGTGGGTAAAAGCAAAAGTTTCTCTGGAAGTGTTAAACTTTTGGAAAGCCATCTACAGTGTCAACCTCTTGTTCAAGAATTATTGCTTTTCCTTAGTTTTCCTGAACAGCTCAACAGGTGTCCAGCACTTCTGTATTGGTCCGAGACAAGACTGACTGCTTCCCCTCCCTCCTGTTTGTTGGGTTTTTTTGTTTGTTTTTCATTTTAGTACTATGTCCAGTTGAAGTTAACTGTACACAAGTGAAAATCCGGAGGTTTTATCTCACTGTGCTGCCTTGTAGCTTCCAACTTATTTTTATGTGAGCAATAGCAGTTTGAAACCCAAGAGAAGGAGGAAATTTTCTATAAGTTTATAGCTCTGCTTTTCTTCTGGAAACATGAATATCATGTAACTGTTGATTTTTATCTGATAGTACATTAGGTAGGTCCACATAACATATACAATTTCCTCTGTAGTGCCAAGTAGAATAGAGAGAGGACTTTTTTAGACTAAAAATAAAAACCCCAAAACCTTAATCACGAACATTACCTAGGTGAAAGATGTTTAAGTATATATATTCTATACAACACAAATTATTCCTCTGTGTTTCAGTTGGCCTTTAAAATGCACAACTAGACTGCATGTAGTTGACATTGTGCATAGTCTGCAGCTCAGCTCATGTGATGTGAAACCACAAGACCTGGTGCTGCTCCTGATTACCTTCAGCTCCCTCCAGTTCACAGTCTTGCAGTATCAGGCCTGGTAACTTTTCAAGTATTGTCTCCCTTTATGCTGCATATAGGGAAGAAAGAAATAGCCAGGGTATGACGATATGCAGTATCATTTGGAGTAGCTAGAATCAATCATTTGAATTTTGCTTATTACAGTGTCCTTACTTCAAAGTTATCTTCACTTGCATGGATATGACTTTTAGTCAGGTTAAAAAGTTGCACATATTGCAGAGACAAGCACATCTCTGAACATTTACAATTTGCTCCCTTGATATGCTTACTTCAAAGACTTCAAGCATAATTTGAAATAGTCAATGGATTTTTAGGTTTGCTGTTATCCAGGTAACAAAACACATATATTATGCAACTGTGATTTTAAACTGGGCTGGAGCAATCCCCAAAGAGGAGAGGTTCAATGGCCAATGAATACGTATTTGCAAAGCAAAATGTCTAAGAACTCTCTCACAATAGCAGACATAGGAAATACTTCTGTCATGTGAAACAGTTCTCCTGGTATTCCCTTAATTACTGCTTTGCCTGTCTGTCTCCATCCCTGCTTGTAAGTCATACTATGAATGAGATGATCTGGATAGGTACCAATCAAAAGTCTAATTATGAATGGAGCAATCTAGATCGGCACTGACTCAAGAAGCTGTGTAATTTGCAGACACCTACACCTTACTGCAGAGAGCAGTTTCAGCTATCTTGAGAAGGCTGAACTAGATTCTCCCATATGGTACTGTTGCTGTAAAATGCAGTAGCAAGTGCTGTGCATATTTATTTAGGAAAATGATGCTGATGTATTCTTATTTGATACCATAATTATCTTAGTTTCATAATTTAAAAAAAAAATGGAGTCTAAATCCTCTTATTTAGCTGGAATTACTATTTATCTATGCTGCCCCTTTTATTCTACCCAAAAAACCTTAACTTCCATGTGTGTGCAATGCCACAGTGGACCCTAACATTCAGCTGACCCCTGATCTTACCACAATACAGATAATAAACTGTATGTCCTTGAAAAAAAACATTTGGTGCAGCACAGTCCATGGGAGAAACACTCGTTAAAATATAGTTAATAAATAACTGGTATAGGGCTAAATTTCTCAAATAGAGGGCACTTGTGTGAAGGAGAAAGAAGAACCTACCCAACCATGGTATCTGTAGATGTGAGACTTCAAGAAGCAGTGCCAAGTTCATTAACTTCTGGTGATTTAATATACTGTGCTGTTTTTCCAAGGGATAAGGTTGCTAAGTTTGCTCCACTGGCCATATCTTGATGTACAGCCTTGCAGTGGCCTGCCTGAATTCCACCTTGGCTTTTATTGAATAAGGCATCCTCTGCTTCCTGCCTAAAGCTGTTGTGTTGAAAAATCAAGAGTTCAAGGAGATCGTGAGCTTAAAGCTTGGCTTGTCAGCGAGTTGACAGGTGACCTGAGCAAGTTACACAATCCTGCTTACGTCAGCTAACCCTTCAGTGAAATACGGAAAATGATACCTGTCAGGCTCAGGAATCAATGGAGCCAAACTACTCTAAAGGGGGTGTAATGATTCAGAATGATTAATTTGATTGACTTCATCTACCTACAGGCTTGTAAAACACCTGCAATTTCACAAATGTAGTAAGTGAATGTAGAGTATTTTATTCTCTGCACCAGTCACGAAATTCACGCTGTGTCACTGGAATATAAATGACAGAATCCATGCTACACGCCTCATGTTGTACGTGGGTTGACAGGTCCTCATGAGCTATTTTCCCTTAGTAAACCCCAGTGTACAGATTTTGTCTTGTATGTTGTATCTGTCATGTATCTGCATGGCCTCATATATACATGGTTTGTTTTACACATGGATTTATATTGCCTTCAGCAAAATTCTTTGATATTTGCTCTCCTATTTTTCCTGACCAAACAACACCTTCACCTGCTCACCTGTTCCTGTGGAGAACCTGAAGAAAGCAGGTTAATTTATAGTTTTGCTCTGATATTCATGAAAAACTTGACTTATTTGCATATCTGAATCAGGTAACATAAACTTCTTACAGATACAAAATGTTGCATATCTGGTATGTCAGGCCCTAACACATCAGAGAAAGTAGAGAATGAGAATAGATATGCTGAGCTTTTACTTTGTGATTCTCTTCAGAGTAATGAAAAAATTGAGTGCAGAAATTCAGTACAGGGAAGTTCTGGATAACAGCTGGAGTGGCTTTTTCATTGCCCATTGTAAAGGCTAGGTACAAAAAAAACTAGTGCTTCATTGTAGTAGCTGAAGTATTTGAATTAATTTTTAGGGAAGAGTGAGGCCTTAGCCTTATACAATTAATATAATGAGAAAAAACAAGCAACAGAGACCGGCAGGTCTTATGTAGTTAAACTCTCACTGATTTTGGGTAGAGTCTCTGCCCAGCAATGTATAGTGGGCAAGACATTGGTTATGAATTCAGTTGAACAAAAATGTGATAAAATGGAATGAAGCTGCTTTTTCTGTTTTGCGTTATTGAGAAGACATTGATTACAGACTAATGATGCTGGTTTCATGTGTCTAATGCTGTAACAACGCTATAACATTACCTTTTCTTTCTTATTATTCAAGTCTCAGCTTCTGAAGCCATGTGATTACCTGACAGCCTTGCTTTGTATTACAAGGTATATTTATAGGTTGTGGGAAAAGCCTGGAATAAGAATTTCAAACTACAAGATTGACAAGAATAGCAAGTTACAAGGGCTGAAAAGTAAATAAAAAAGTATGCAGAACATTACTTCAAAACCTCTTTCAGTGTCTTTCTAGAGACCATTAAACCGTGCATTTAGTACAGAGGTTCACTAGTGCTGGCACTAGGACACCAGCTCCCCTCCCTCTGGTGTGTTGAGCTAAATGTCTTTATTGGAAAAGAGCTTTTTATTTCAGTCGTTTATTACTTTAGCTGTTCAGCTTTATAATACT